GCATTAAATCGAAATCTATTTAGCCTAAGTGCCTTAGACTAGGGTTAGAGTTTTACATCGATTTACTGGACGGATTAAACCACTTTTGAATTCTCTGAGCTTGTAGACTGTCCACGATTAAGATCCCAGTTGAATCCACGCTCCGACACGCCATGAATCGCCTGGAATAAGCCTTGGACAAATTACCCTTATCTCGCCGGAAAAGTGGTCGCCGGCGACTTTGACCGGTGGGATCGAGCTGGAAACGAACGGGGAGAGGTCTGGGAGTTTGAAATGACTGGTGGTTGGATTTGGGATGGCCGGGATAGAGAGAGAGACAAGGATGGAATGAGGCTCTATTCAAGGATTTTGCCATATTTAGCCATTCTCTAAGGGTTTGAACGGCTTTGATCTATTGGTTGGACTCCTAGATGAATGCCAAGTGGCATGGGAGTGGTTGGAAAGCTGGAGAATCAAGGACACAAGGACTAGTGAGGTGGAAAGGCCTCCTATGTCCTTTTGAGCACATGGAAGGGTTTGAGGCCATTTGATTTTGATTAAAGGGCTAGGATAAGTCCTAAGAAGGTTCTAGAGCCTGTATTAACAGTTGAGGTTAAGTGGGATTTGAGTTTAACAAGTTTGATTAAGGGTTTTAACCATTTGGAATCTCCATTGACCACCCATTGACTGTTTGACCAGTCAATGGGTCAATTTATGCTGATGTGGCAGCTAGAGTGGTTTAAGGAGCTGTTTGAGTGAAGTCTTGAGGGTTCAAATGAGAATGCATAATGGTTTGGTTAAAACTTTGGATATTTGACCAAGTATATGAGTTGACTTGGTCAAATAGGCTAGGGTTTGACTCAAGACAGGTTTTATAAGTATTCCATACATCACAAGAAATAGATTTAAAGGGAAATGAGACCATGCAATCAAGGTTTTGAATGAATGCAATAAATAGATTCATATTGGTCTAGTTTGACTAAGTTTTAGGTTAACTTGACCAAGTCAACTGTTGAGCATGTCAAGAGTCCAAACAAGTCTAAATCACTAACTAAAGTGACCACAAGAGTTTGGCAAAGTTTTGAATGAATTTGAATCTTGATTCAAAGTAGAAATGGCTTAGTGATTGATTTGATCAACCTAGGATGACTGGGTCAACCAGGTTGACCCAGGAGATGGGCCCAAGCTCGAAAGTTTTGGTTTGATATTTGAAAATTGTTGGAAGTGGTTCCAAGCAATTTGGAGGTCATTTGGTTTGAAATCGATGTTTGAGCTCCTAAGGGGTATTCTGGTCAAAAAAGGTCGATTTGGTCAACCAGGTTTGACCATGGTCAGAGTTTGAATCCACTGCACTCCTAAGGGTGATTAGGATGCATTGGAGGGGGTTTTGAGGTTTGGTTTGAAAAGGTGTAGTTGAAGTTTGGAGAAAACTTAAAAATTTTCCTTAAAGGGCATTTTGGTCATTTTGACCCCTGGTCAACTGGGGGTCAAAGTGGGTCCACCAAAAATACAGTTTAATATTCAATAAGTTAGGATTAAGGGTTTAGAAGTGATTAGACGCTTTGGAGAAGGCTCTAAGGTCAGGATCTACTACGTGATAGGTCCAGTGGCATAGGCCGTAAATATTTGAAGGTTTTACAGCCTTTGAATTTTGATTTAGTTTTTAGGGTTAGAGACCTCAGAATGGGATCAAATTTAGAGGGTAGCCTCCAGAGACATGTCTTATCACTTTGCAAGTGATATACTATGAATCAGAGGTTATTTGACTGGGTTTTAAAGTGTTTGAAAATTCACTCAAAAATGCCTTTAGGATAGGGCCTTTGGACTTAGGATTTTGAGTTTGATTGATTAAGTTTGAGTTATCTAAATCATTTATGATCATTTGAAGGATCATAATTGATTGGATAAGGTTGAAGTTTGATAAAAAACAAGATCAAGGTTTGAACTGAAGATTAAGATCTTGAACTGGATTGGAGTCTGTATTTTGATTGAGGTTTGAATTGAATTGAAATCTGGATTTTCTTGAGGTCAGGATTGATTTGAAGTTTGAATTGATATGAGATCTAAATTAATCTCAAGGTCTGGATAGATCTAAGGTCTAGGCAGCTCCTAAGGCCTGAGAAGATCATAGGGTCTGGATTTAGAAAGGTCTTAGGGTCTAGAATAGATCCAAAGATATGAAGTCTAGAAGAGTCTTAAGATCTAGATTTGTCTGGAGAAATCTTAGGATCTAGAGTATAACCTAGGATCTAGAATCTAGAAGAGATTTAGGATCTAGATGGATCCTAAGGCCTAGAGTTTGAAAGAATTCTAGAACCTAAAAGAGGTCTTAAAGTCTAGATTCTAGAATGATCCTAGGATCTAGAATAAGACGTAAGGTATGTATTCTAGGAGAATCCTAGGTTCTAGATTGATCTGGAAGAATCCTAGGGTCAAGATAGGTCTTAGGGTCTGCAGTCTAGATTGATGTAGGGTCAAGATTGATCTGGAGTCTGGGTGGGTCCCTAGTAACCTCATACAAAAATGAGGTCAACACTTGAAAGTTAACTATTCACCTATATGTGAATCTCTGCAATGGGATTGCTGGTGTCAAATTGATGATGCCCGACCCTTTTATGACAACGATATTGATCTGCTCAGCTATCTCAGTGACTTTCTAAAGTTTGACAAACAGGTTATTGGGCTGTGGACAATGATGACAACCTGTTTTCTTCTTTCTGGATGGCTCAAGGGCAACCAAAGAAGAAAAGAGTAATCGTTTCATGAAGCAAATCTTTTTATGAGTCCCACCCAGCCAACAGACTTTCTGTCTGAGCAATTCATCTATCCTCTAGTTATAGTTCAATTGTTATCATTTGTTGTATCTGTTTTATTTTCAGAATTTTGTTGTAATTGTATGTAGTATTCTAATTTTGTTATTCTGTGTTGTTAGGTTAGAACTGTTTAAGTTTCTTTTTTTGTATCTGTAAGACCTGATGTTATGAATAAAAAGGGCTATGCCCTCACTTTTCTTAAAAAAAAAAAGATATGAAAATTTAACTTTATACTCATTATCACAAAAATAACTCTATTACTCAATAACATACATTCATTTATAAAAATATAACTATATAATTAGACTTAATTAAAAAAGTGTCAAAATATTCTAACGTTAAGTAATTGAAATACTTCTCTGAAAAAATTCATAATTTTAAAATATACTCAAAATATTAATTATCAAATATCATATATAACAAAATTTGAAGCTTTAATTTAACTAAAACATTATTTTTAGAAGTCAAAATAAAATTTTAATTTGTTAAAATTGCAGGTTTTGCAAAAAAATCCAATGAAAAAAATTTAAATAAATACTAAAAAAATTCATAATCACAATCTCTATAATATATAAAAAATAACACGATGAAATATTTATCAATACAAAGTTATCCTTATTTTTTGAATTAAAATACAAATTTGATCAGAAAAATCTTGAAACTCTTAAGTTATTGAAATAAATAATAGGATAATTGTTCCTTACAATAAGACGAGCAAATCTCCCAACATGATTGACTGACAAAAATCATTCCACTGCCTCAAAATCCAAGTTTTATTTTCATGCCCCACTAGAGAAAGAGAAGAGGGGGATCAGCCATTCCATTCTATATTCTATTAAGGCAGCCTATGCTATAATTAAATCACGATAATATCTATGCTATGATGAAATCGATTTATGATTTATACTTCTTCTATAAAAAATTATTTAAATGGATCAAAATATGAGCTATGACACCATTAGCTTGTATACTACTAAAGATCCATGCAGATTATTAATGGTTTTAAGAATTTAATTTACGAGCTTCAGTATGAGCAATTATCTCAAGATCTCACTCTTTTGGCAAATAGCGTAGAATCTTATTTATCTATGCCTAATATGTATGTATCTTCTTGAGTGCTTTGAGATAATTGTCTAATAGATTTAGAAAAATCTACTAATATGTCAAACAAAAGACTTATTTTCAATTAAAATTAATTAAAAATAAAATATTCATGCAATCACAATCTTTTAAACATTAAAAAAACATGAGAAAATTCATCATTAATTGGCTCAAATAGCGTAGAATCTTATTTATCTATGCCTAATATGTATGTATCTTCTTGAGTGCTTTGAGATAATTGTCTAATAGATTTAGAAAAATCTACTAATATGTCAAACAAAAGACTTATTTTCAATTAAAATTAATTAAAAATAAAATATTCATGCAATCACAATCTTTTAAACATTAAAAAAACATGAGAAAATTCATCATTAATTAGCTCAAATCAAATTAAAATCATCATAAAAAAATTCCTGAAATCAACTTTTATGAAGATACTCAGATTCTTAAAAGGACCTGCAAGCTACTTTATGGAGGAGAAATTATTCTGTGCGGACACTGGATTGTCCGGAGGTCAATCAAAGAACGCCATATGACCCAATACACAGCCCCGATAACTGAAAAAAGAGTTGTGCTTTCTTGTTCGCCTCCAAGTGACGTCCGGTGTCCGCACAAAATAATTTTTCTTTATTGGACCGGACGTTTTAGATGCCAGCCAAAACACGTCACATCACCCTATACATAACACCGATGTAACGTGGTGCATTCTAGTTCACCTCCGAACCGTCCGTCATCCGCATGGAATAATTTATCTTTCTTTTCCAATTTTGATTACTCTTATATTATTCTCAAACCGTTAGCATTCAGAAAGTAAAAGCATCTGGGCTTGTCGCAGTTCATATAATATATCCTTTATATTCTCTCCTCTCCCATGTAATAACAGATCTGCATTTAATCTTCATTTTTTTTTACTACTTGCGTCAGACATTTTTGGTGTTGCACCTTGAAGATTGTTCCAAATCTTCGAATTGTGGGCTTGCTTTGCTCTTAGTAAACATCCACAAAAAAATCATTAACAGTAAGGCCCTACTTTGGCAACATAATCAGTTTAGTAACAATATAATGAAACATCATCGATGACAAGCATTATTTTAACATAATAAACATAAAAAATGCATTTGTTACTGCAATTAACCAATAATAATCTTAATAGAAAACATTCTCACAATAACCATTATAACATTATAGGGAGGCTAATGAAATGCAACCTCAGCTAACCTTACAAACTGTACAGCCTCAACGAAATTGTGAAGCAATAACTTCAATCAAGAAGCATCTCATAAATTTAAATCAATACTTTTTTCGTGTCAGAATGTTGAGCAAAATCAGTTGACTTCAAAGAACGTGCTGCATCTCTTCCTGTTAGTTGTAAGTAATGGAGGAATGTTGAGGATTATAAGTAGGAAAATTTCAAGAGTATAGCATAGGAAACAATTTCAGATGATGAACCTCATTTTGATCTCCTTCATCTTCTGATTGGGCAGTTGGATCGCTTGCAGTATTTTTTGTTTTCTGCTCTGCCACAGTTTGTAGGTGCTGAATGAACTTCTCGAAGTGCGAATGATCTGTATGAAAAGAAAAAGAATTACATTTTTACATTTGTGGGGAAAATTATTATATGGAATAACTCTTATGGTCTTCTAAAATTAATGCATCTGTGCTATTGCTCACATTTCTATAACACCAAAGCAAAGTGCTCTAAACAAATAATTGGAATGAAGAATTAACTCGAATTATATAAGCAGATTCAATTGGAGTGCATCAATCTGGCCCTATATATATATATATATATATATGATGGTATTCGTGCCAAAAATCTTAAATAAAATTATGCCAATTGATTTATAAATGATGGAACAAGAAGGGAGCTACCACCGAAATTCTTCCCCCAGCCATTTTAAGAAGTTTATCCTGACTGGATTGAGGCTTCACCTCTATATCAAAAATTGATCCCAAATATATTATTGATGAAATGAGTGAATTTTATTTTATTTTTTACCAAGCCCAATTTCCTTGGATTTTGTCATGGAATTTGAAAATTTATAATAGACACAATCAATTGCAAAAATTTATTCTGCAAATTTGCAATAAAATGATGGACTGTGATAATTGTGGAAGAGAAATTACTGCAAATAAAAAAGGTTATTATCACGAATAAAAGTATCAGCCTATTGATTCCTAAGAAGGATGAATTCTCATTAAAATTAATGCATGATTCAATTCGATGCAAATATCCTAATGAAAATCCTGATCAAATATAGGCTAGAATAATGCTAGCCTATCTACAATAGTTACCCCATCTGTTTTCAGAAGGAAACTAAGATAAAATGTTTCAATCAACTGAACAGAACTATCTTCATAATGAGAAACCAATCGAGAAAAGGAAGAATTTAATAAAAAAAGAACACAATAAATTCATAATTGTCTACAGCAAATTATTGCTCATTTGAGATAAAGAAATAATTATTTCTTTACTTTTAGAAAAGATTGTGTTATTACGATACTTTTCCTTTTTTTAATTTTATGTTTCTCCAGATGTAAACAAAATTGTTTCGAGATCCAGTTCTCCTTTCCCTCTACATGAGGAGAGATGTTTTCGTTATAAGGTGAGCTAAGTTTCAGAGTCATTCTTGGAGTCTGTCCGATACCCTGGAGCGTAATAAATCTGTAAGATATTCTCTTATGCTAAATATTTTCTTTCTTTTTTTTTTATTTATTCTATATGTCTCATAAGTAAACTACTCCCCAATTAGTTAGGATTATTGTCAGTGGATTTATGAGAAATTAAAAGTTTGGTGGGATAATTACCTAACTAAAAGACTATTAAAAATTCTAAGTGATTTTAAATTAGACGACAATCCTAAGGGAAATGATGGGGATGTTAATTCATTAATCCATAATATCCTTAAAGATTTCATATGATATTTTTAAGACAATCGTAAACAAATTAAATCTCTCTTATTGAAATTAAGGTGTTCGACATCAACCTATTTTAGATAGTATAAAGATGTTTTCCTTAGTAGAATTATGAATATTCCGAATACCAACAACGATTATTGAAAGCAAAAATTTATTGAAGAACTCCCATCCATATTTGTCAAAAGCTTAAATGAACCTTTAGATATTCTTCTGAAAATGTCCAATATTATTTTATTAACTTATGTATACATTATCAATAATTGTACCAAAGAACGATTACATCTTTGTTCGGATATTAAACTAAATAAACAAATAAGGGAAAGAAAGAATTTTCGAGAAAAAGCAATTAGGTGCTTTTTCCGAACAATTTATTTGTGATAATCCTTGCACTTCTAATAAAAGAGCTAAAAAGTAACAAAGAATTTTATAACAAGAGGTATCCAGACATTTTAGGTCCCATAGACATCATGAAAAGACCTCTTTCATCTAAAGATTTCAAATATCACAAAAATTAGGAGAATTAAAAAAATAGAGAGAAAACAGTAAAATGAATATCAAATATTACTGATGTGGTAAACATGGACATTAAGCCCAAACGACATAACATTACATTCGAAATATCCAAAAGGAAGAATAAAAGCAATTTTATAATGATCAAACAATCAATGAAAGACAATTAACTTCAATTACAGGACATATGTTGAGGCTATGACTAAAAGCTTTTATATTATTAATCCTAATATAAGCATTCTTTGATGATCTTACTCACACCAGAAATCTTAAATAAATCTGTGTCAATTTGATTTTATAAATGGAACAAGATGGGAGCTACCATTACAATTCATCCCGCAAACATTAAAAAAGTTTATTCTAACTGGGTTGAATCTTCGACCAATATATCAAAAGTTGAACCCAAAAAATCTTATTGATGGAATGAATGAATTTTATTTTTTTGCCAAGCCAAAATTCCTTTGATTTTGTCATGAAATTTGGAAAAGCTTAGTGACACAATCAATTGCAAAAGTTTATTCTGTGACATGTCAGTTAAAAGATGGACTGCTATTCTTGTTGAAAACAAATTATTTCAAATAAAAAATATTATTATCATGACTAAAAGAATCAGTCAATTGACTCCTAAGAAGAAAAATGATAGAAAGTGGATGCACTTTTCATAAAAATCAGCGGATGAAATATGAAAAATTGGGAAGAAGATGGCCCCAAAATATTTTTTATTGAAAGAACTATAAAGAGAAATGCAAGATACAATTGGATCTTCAATTGCAGAGGAAGATATGTTTCTCCCAAATCCCTAGCCGCCAACTAGAGCCCAAATAACCTAAGAATAAACTAAATTCAACAAACTTCAAAACATAATCCTGAAATCACCCTATTATTAGCCTTAAATAGGCTCCCATAATTCCCTCCCAAATCAATCCCCTTTCCTAAATAATTCCCTCTCATATTTGAATTCAAATTAGAATTATTTTCCTATTTAATTCCCTCTCAATTATAATTAAAACTTTCCTAAACAATCCCCTTAATTCCTCGCAGTGGTGATCCAAATGAATATGAACTACCAGCATGCTAGTTAATGAACAAAATCTAAAGTACCTTGGCAATGGCTGGTTCAAACTTCAAAGAGAAAAAATCAATCCCCATGGGGTTGACTAATTAGGCCCAAAAGAAGGTTTGTAAGTGCTTTCAACCCATTTAGAGTTAAATGTTAGTATTCAGAGAAAAGGATAAAAATGACCTCTCAACTCTTTGTAAGGGATCAAAATAATCCACTACTCTTTTGAGGGACCAATTTGAACCCTCAACTCTTTAAAATGGGACATTTTTTGTCCTAAAATCCAATATTGGAGTTAAAGATGTTAAATTTAAGGGCATTTTAGTTATTTTTTAATTAAATATTTAATAAATACAATTTTCAAGTAGTTCTATTTTTTATAAAAAATTATTAAACATTTATTTAATAAAAAAATTAATAATAATTTTAGTTTTGATTTAAAAAAATTTAGTCATATTTTATCAAATATGATAGGTAAAAATATTTGTGACTAAGTTGAAAATAAGTAAATAAAATATGTTTGCATTTGATTTTTCTAAATCAATAAATATCATATTTTATAAAATATAAATAAAATTGTTGAAATTAAAATTAAAACTATTTTTAATACATTTTTTTTAGAAAAATTATAATTACTTCGAAATTATATTTAGTGAATGTTTAATTAAAAAATGATCAAAATATCCTTACATTTAACACCATTAACTCTAACATTAGATATTATGACAAAAAAAAGTCCTATTTTAAAGAGTAGAGGGATCAAATTAGTAACTCAATTTTCTCTTAGTATTTACATCTTGTTATTATCCTTATCATAATTTTTAGATTGAAAGTAATTAATCCTCCTCGTATTTGGAGATTAATTACCTACAAATCTAAAATAGATGACTCTCTTTCAAATATAAAAGAAATATTCTTCTCGATCCTTGCATTTATTTTTAGCTAATAATTTGTAGTACTATAACTAAGAACTTCCGATGCAATGAAACTATATGGAACTTCAATTTTCAAATATGAGATATCAAATTTCCTCCTCCAATCTCACTCTCCTCTACTGTCAATTGATAGCAAAAAGGAAAGGCAACAAGTACTGACCTCTCTCTCTCTCTCTCTCTCTCTATATATATATATATATATCCCTCACAAACCAAGAAACAAGGGAGCATCTCGTGCAACTATATTTTCATCTTTTGATCTAGAAAAATGAATTAACCATTTGGATAGCAAATTGCAGCTATTTGGAGAATAATTTCGGCAAAGAGAAATGAAAAACGATGAAACATGCCCACAAGTTTTGTCCAAAATTCTGACACTCTTGCATTCAATATCTTGAATAATTTAACCAATCATTGGTTACTCGTTAGGTTTTGTTTATGTGCACGCAAGTATAAATATAAAAATTATTTTCCCTCATCATAAGCTCTAACTGGCCCCTCTTCTCTGCTTGCCTATAATTAACTCATGAGATCTCGCTAATGGCAATATTTAAATCTCATTATACCTTTCAAATTTGCTTTGGATGCATGATGGATTGAAATGATTTTGCATGCATAAATTTAATATAAGAAATTTTAGCGAGAAAGGCACAATGGATAGTTAAAAAAGTTTCAAATGTGGATAGGACACACAGGCAGCTAGTATTTTTCAGTAGAAGTTTTAGTTGCATGAGTTTCATAAACCACACTTTCAATGAAAAAGTCCAGAGTAAAAATCTTCTAATTTTGAAAAACTCGAGCCTCCCACCATTTAGCTAAATTTTTTTTCTATAACATTCATTATGTTAAGACCCTAAATTTAGTGTTACTTCTAGTTTCTTCCCGGCCCTGTGCTAAATAACCAACAATGCCAGCTATGGCCCACCAATTTTGCTTCAACACGATTATGCTTTACCTTACAATCTTTGCACTGGCAACAAAGTTTGCACAAACCATTTCCTACAAACACACTCAATGAAAATTTTAAATTCACGTAAAGATAATATGAGGTGTTTTCCTACGTAGCACACATGATCGACCCTTGCTAAACATGATAGTTAATAAAAAAAAAGTTTTTACTCGTAGGTCTAGTAGTATAGAAAAAGTATATTTCAAATATTTCAAGCATTTGAAACAAAAATCACATAATTCAGGTGGGTTTCTAGCGTTAGTTTCATGAGGGCAATTGGGAATGTAAAAGGAATATGAATAGAAAACCTTTGCTGCGATGAACTAAAGCATCAGCAATTTGCAGAGGATGCTTGCGCTGTTCATTCTTGAATTTTGCTTTAACTTGTTGACGGCTTCGATTAGGAAAGAGTACTTGTATCATTGCAAAATCTGTGCCATATTGTCTGATAGCCTGATGAAATACCAAAAAAGAAAATAGAAAACCAATTCTAACATAAAGAAGTATCATTTTCTCAGAATTTGAGACAACGAACAAAAAGCTTGCTTCAAAGAGACATCTAGAATGTAGATGATATGAGGAATACAGTGGTAAAAAGCATGAGATTTCTAAGACTTTGAAGTAGAAGACAGTATGAAAGTTTTCCAAAAAGTTCTATGTAATCTAATAATTCTCTCATTCATTTTTAATGCTATAAAATTTATTCAACTAGCATATTTGTCAAATGGATACAGTACCTGGTAGAATAACTCTGTGTCAGTTTTTGACCATCTGGTTTGGAGCGTCCGTTTCATGTAGGAATGATAATTAATTCTTCGACCCTCTTGTTGAATGTCTATATTTCTATCATTATCATTGGAGTCTTGTTCATTTTCCACACTGCCATGATTAGACATGCTTGTTGTTAGATCTCATGAGCTTGGTGTGCACACTAGAGTTTTAATGATCATAAACATTATTATTATTTATGTTTATTTAAATTATAGTTATGTGTGCAGGTTTTTGCTTTTAAACTAACATTTCAGATAAAATGAAAAACAATAGATAAAGTGATATCTGATGCATAAAAGACATAATAAAAAAGAGTAGCTGATTGAGCTAAAAACTGAAAATATGAAGACCATAAAAAACAACATGATCTCAAAAAGTGAAATGTGTGTCAATTTATAATTTTTTATTTTTTAGTCTTCTTAAGTTTGCATAAGAATATACTGAGCTAAGCAACCAAACACAACGACACAAGAGTACAAAATAAATTAAAACATAAATTGGAAGTTAATTAAAACTCTTGATCTTCTAACCAATTGTACATTACAATGTGGACGTATTGAACAATAATACTATGATTTAAAAAAAAAAAAGATAATTAAGTGAAATTAATCAACAAAAAATTAAAATCAATTTAAAAAATAATAAATTATATTGGATGAATATCGTCCTATATGATTTGCTATTTTAAATTAAGCTCACCCATTATATGTTATTTTCAAAAATTGGTAAATTTAAATTTGTTCCAATTCTATAGTAGGAAATTTGAAAATATTTAAGAAAATTATCTATTTTTGGACCTAAAATCAAGAAATCGAATCAGAATAATATTTAATATTGTATGATCTCTATCATACAATCCAAGCAAACATAGAGCTTATCTTGTCAATCTTAAATTGGTGTTGACCCCACCCTGAAATGCACCAAAAAAAAGAGAAAATCGGCGGATTAAGTGACGCGCACATCAGCACGGCGCATTACTTGGAGAGTCAAACGACCTCCAATTGTAAAACGGACAGCGTCGTTGCAATTAGGACGTTGAATTCGCCCAAGTGGGACCACCTCACAGTCGAATCGGACGAGACCGTTCAAAATCATTGACTGATGCCCGAAAAAGACGCCCGACATTACCCAAATGACGCTCGATTGCAAAATAGACTTCGTCGTTACATTCAGCCGTCTCCAATACCCAAAAGTGACTATAAATTTGTTCAACTAAAGCCACACGAGGAGATCGGAGTGATCCTGAGGCAACATTGCACATATCGAAGAAATTAATGCACGATGTTTCCCAAATGACGTCCGATCATAAAATGGACTTCGTCGTTGTGCTTGGAACATCGACAATAGCAAGAATGCATTATAATTTTGTCCAATGAAAACCGCGTGAAGGAATCAGCATGGATTTTGAGGCAACAATGCACAAAAATCAAAGAAATTGCGCATTTTTAAGTCAAATTCTCGTTTAGTGATATATGTAATTAAATGTTATTATTATTATTAATTGAATTAAAATAAAATAAAATAAAAATATCTATCATGGTCAAATCTGATGCCTTACTTTGCCAGCAATCCGGATGTGTGACCACGAATTCTCAAGTCGACGACGAGCTCTGCATGATCTAATGCCCACTCAATTTGTCCTCGTCGCACAACCTTCGTTCTACCTCTATCAAACCACGGCTTGTGTCGTTAAGATGAGGAAGAAATGAAGTATTCGATCTCTCTACCTCTGTTAAAATCCTCACGCATAAGAGCTATAAATATCCTGCAAGTCTTGCACGCCTTTGGCATCTAACCCATGTCCCTTGATCGACCGACCCAGCCGCCCACCTGCTTCGATCAAACCACACGAGCAATCGAAGCTCGCTTCAACCAAATCTCTCTATTGTTGTTCGATCCTTTCATATGACGTCCAGCCTTGACAACCTGCGACCGATCCGTGTGCAAAAGCCCTATTAGAACCTATTTTGATCCCTCTAGCCTCACGTAGATTGGCTAAATACTGCTTCCACAAGCCTCAAAACTCCCTATCGCAGGCCCCAGCCGAACACAACTCGTTTGACCCTCATCGAACCGAACTACGTTCGTCTGCACTTCCAAATCCCATTCCACAGCCACGGGCGGCCTCTAATCGAAGACCCATCTCCTACCTTTGATGCATCTAGCACACAAGCGAACGTCACCTTTCGGTTTAAGCCCTACGAATCTAATGCCTTCTTCGACGATATCCTTTCATGTTTCTTCAACTTGACCACACCCCTTCGGATTCAGCTGCCTGAAGTCCCTCTATTCGACCCCCAACAAATAGTCGAAGCCACCCCTAGCCCCTCAATCTACCGACTTTCATCCATCTTCCATTCACGGCAAATGTGCTGCCACCCTCTGTTTTCCAATCAAACCGATCTTCACACGACCTAATCAGACGACCTAACCGCTTATCACGACCTCTACTCGCCCCTTGTACTGAACGCCGCCTGCAGTTCAAGCAGTTCGCAAGTCCTGCCTCAAATCCCCACTCCAGCCCCTATAATCAAGCAGCATCTGCTCGAACGTCCTCCGCCTCCCTCTGCCCTATTTACCCTCACAGCCACAAAATGTGCCTAACTCGATCTCCCTCTTCTTTCGCTTGTAGCCGAACATCTGCTGAACTCCACTTCTCGTCCTCTTACTCTTCCCCAAACTGACTGATGAAGCCCAACTCCTTTGCCGACCCAACCACCGAACTCAACTCATCTCAACTCAATTCTCTAATCCGATCGCACTCACAAAGAAAACCAAAGGTAAAATTCTATAATATCTCTCTGTGTTAAATTTCTATTAACATTAATAATATTGTATTAGTATTATTAACCATTATTATTTACTAATGATAATAGTAATGATAATATTACTATTCTTATTATTATTATTCCAGGAAAAGAGAGGAAAAAGAGAGAAAAAAATGAAAGTAGAAAAATAAAAAAAGCGGGAAAAAAGATACAACAAAGGAAGAAAAATAAAAAAAGAAGAATAAAAAATCAGAAAAGAAACATTCATGTCTCGATATACATGCATTTGACGATGTCAATGTCATTATCGCCATGAAACTGCCATTGACGCCGACGATAACATCGATACAATCGTCAACACCATTGTTGACGTTACCCCCATGAAAAGTACAAAGTTCCAAACCCCACTCTTGGCATGTGTCATGCGCCGGGAAACCACCTATACACGCATTTCTTAGCGTGGTAGGATGGAATCCGGTGCGACAGCCGCGATGAGGCTGGTAAGCCCTGTACACGTTTTTCTTATCGTGATGGGGACAACTCTAAGTACCCGTGTGTGCCTCAGTACTTGCGGGAAAATAATTGTACATTTCAAAGCATGTACATATGGAGTATTGTTGAAAGACAGGTGACAGATGCTTGCCATGAATATTTTCGATCGGGATGTATGTCCGAAGAGTGGAAAGACATGGTTATTATTCTTTTGCCTAAAGTAAAGAAGGCTGATCATCCAATAAAATTGAGGCCTATTAGCCTTTGCCAATCTGTATATAAGATTATTGCAAAGGTTTTAGTCAACCGATTAAAAGGGATTTTGCCTAGAATCATAGCTGAAGAGCAAGCAGCCTTCGTTCCAAGTTGCTCTATTTCAGATCATTGCTTGCTTGCACAGGAAATGATCAACAAATTCAAGGTGTCCACTTCAACTAAAGGATTTTTGGCTCTTAAAATAATTATGGAGCAAGCATATAACAAGATGAGCTGGATAACACTGGGGTTTGTAATGAATAGAATGGGCTTCCCATCTCGGTTCACTGATTGGGTGTTGAATTACATTAAATTCCCTAGGTTTTAGTACTCATTAATGTCCAGCTTTCTGAATGGATTATAGCGGAATGCAGGTTTCGGCAGGGATGCCCGCTGTCACCATATATATTCATTCTTCGTTCAGAGTTGTTATCTACTGCTTTGCATCAGAAGAATCAGGGAATCGGGTGGCTATTAGCCCTAAGGGACCGCTAGTCTCTCACCTATTATATGCTGATGATATTCTGATTTTTGCAAGTGCAACCAATAATGACTTAAAGAATGTTCTTGTTACGTTGCAAGATTATTGTTCGTGGTCTGGCCAGAAGATTAATCAAGGCAAATCAGCGGTTGTTTTTAGCAAACTTGTTCCGCTGTGGAAGAAAAACAGGATGGCCAGGATGACTAGATTTCATAAGGTTGAGGAATTGGATTACCTGGGAATTAAGTTGTCTATGAAACGGCATGTCAAGGCAGATTCTGCTCCAACTATTCAAAAAGCCCGAAATTTTGTAATGGCTAGGGGGAACCGTCATTTGTCGTTGGCTGGAAGAGTCACGTTGTTGATAAATGCATCCTTAATTCTTGCGGAAATGTATGCAATGACTCACTCTCTTATGCCAAAGGCTGTATTGCAGGAGCTGGAGAAGATTAGCCGTAGCTTCCTTTGGAATAAAAACCCTGAGAAAAAAGGATTGCATTTGGCTTCGTGGTCCATGATATGCAAACCTAAAAGGGTGGGAGGTCTGGGCATTCACGCTACATCTAATTGGATTGGGCCTCTTAGAGCACGTATTGCTTGGGATTTTGTGGCTAAGCCAAATCACTTGGTCCAACAATGCTTGCAAAATAAATATGGAGACCAACCGTGGGAGTATGTTTGTAAAAGGGGGGATTCGGCTGGTTGGAAGATCATATGTGAAGGTGCATCCAGCCTAAGAAATTGTGTTCGCTGGAGTATAAGGAATGAGAGAAGTATTGATGTTATGAATCAGGTGTGGATTCAAGATCGAGCACTCAACGACTGGCCTACTTTCTGCAATGCTGATATACTTCAGAATAGGAAAGTAGCTGATCTGATCACCCCTGAAGGTGGTTGGGACATACAGCAGTTGGATATTTGTTTTGGGACAGAGCTGGTCAACAGAATTACTGAAATATCTATTGAGAATGACGGGTCTAATGATAAGTTGGAACTGATTAAGAGTCCCATAGGAACTACTGTTGCTGCTATTGCTTATAATAGTAAATTCTGCATTGATGATCAGATCACCAACATATACAAGCTCAAGCTCCATCCTCGGCAAAGATTATTTTGGTGGCGGGTATATAAGGAAATTATCCCAACTAATCAGTGGTTGAGTATTAGGGGTCTTGCGGATGATGCCAGATGTGTCCGTTTGGATGTCCAGAATCGGAGGATATTAATCATGTCACGGTTGGATGTCAGCAGTTGTTCTCTACATTTGATAAATTAGAACAATGGGGATTTTTAATTCCTCAGTTTACAAGGCTGCAGGAGCTCCAGAATGGTATATGTAATTGTCAAGAAGAAGGTAGCACTTGGGCAGTTTTGTATTGCTATGCAACCTACCAGTGTTGGAGAAATAGGAATGCAAAGAAGCACGACAGACAGGTTAACACCCCGACGATGATGGCTTCGAGTGTTATTGAGGCGTGCAATCAGGATTCAATGTTCAGAATTTCGGAGCAATGGGGCTTCATTCAACCCGAATATGGTGTCTCCCCCTCTGAATTGGCTAAAGATTAATGTTGATGGGGCCTTGTTTCTGAATAATGCTGGAGGTATTGGACTGGTTATTCGAGACAGTAATGGGAAGCTTCTGGTGGCGGCTGGATGGGCTATTCTACATTGGGATAGCACTCAAGTTGAACTAATGTCAATCAAGTATATTTAGCAACTTGTTTCGGTAGAGATGTTTGATGCCAATGGAATCATTGTGAAAGGGGATAATAGCAATATTATAAAGTATATGCAGAACTTCTGAAGGCATGAGGAATGGCGAGCTTGGCCGCAGGATAGAAATTTCTTCAACTGGATAAAGTTTTTTCACAAAGTGCTCTTTGTGCATAAGCCCAGGAGGAATAATAAGGCTGCCCACTTTTGTGCCCAAAGGGTAGTTGAGGGGCATTTCGTTTTGGAATAATGTTGATAGCGGTTATTCTTGTATTCCTCAAGAATTTTTTAATAAGTTCTTTCTTTTTTTCTTAGTGGCCGCTTTTCTTGGTCTTTTTCGTGTTTAATTGTATGTAATAGTCTTTTCTAGTTGAAGAAGTGTTTCGTCTTATTATCTTCACAAAAATATTGAAGACTTGAAACAACTGCAAGTATCTACAAGTTGTTGCAAGAAACACACTGATGTGTCACCAAAAAAAGGTCTCAATTACGACATTAAGCATGCATAATTAAATAATTCGGTAGAATCAAAAAATGAGCAGTTTAAGAAAATGTCTCATTCTATCATCCTTTCAGAAATATGGAGGCTTCTAGAGAAATGCCGCACTATTTGAGTGAAGATCTGGAGATCAAGTCCCTCGGACCCTCAACTCAGTTTCCTACATATGCATCATAAATAGATAGAATGGACTCATCAAGTATACTATTTTGGAGCTACATAAGAACCTTCCATGTCCCACGTGCGTATCTGATACTAGGATGTCATCGAGATACTAAAGATCTTCTTGCACTTTGTTATGTCCATACTTCAAGGAGACTACATCATCATAAACTGAAGATAAGGAATCTAATGATGTATCAGCCGAGCCTTTGGCCTCATCATATTATGATATCTCATCTATCACAAAATGACCTCATTTCGTTTAGACATCTTTATACAATTTAAGTAAATGATAGGGTAACTTATAAATCCGATCTCTAAGAATGAAAAGGCAATCTTAGAGGAGTTTGCTGGACTAAGAAGTGTGCTTGTGACTTATCAATGGAAGCAGAATGCAGCTCATGTAATTGCTGCTACGGATAAGGACGGAGCCAACATCAAAACAATGAAGTATCTCATGGCTATGTCGGGTGATAACGTTACAATTCATATGTAAGCAAAAACAGGGAATCAATAGTTTAACAAGAATGTCATTCTATCATCTCTTAAAAAATATTGAGACTCCTAAAGATACGCTGCATCACTTGAATTGAGAGCGAATATCTGGAAATCAAGTCTCGCAACCCAATGTCATACATGTGCATTATAAATGCATAGAACAGACCTGTCGAGTACACTATTCTAGAGCCATATAAGAAGCTTCTATGAACCATGTCCATATCGGATACTAGAATAGTTGCCCCTCAAGTAAGGACCAGTTGACTTGTATATCTGATCTTTGGAAGAATAAGAAAAGGGAGCATGTATCAAAATAATGAGGCTAAAATACAATCCCGTAGGTCGAATGTTGAAGAAAATGGTAGCGACGTGCCGAAGATGAAGTGGGCTAAAATGCACTGACAATGCGCAATAAGTGAAGTGCGACGCCAAGTCACCGGATCTGCAACACTTGTACGAGAGGTCATAAGGTGTCTACAAGCTCCTAAATATAATGTTGTGGATCTTCAAACGATAGTTGCCAATGCAATTGATTAGTGTCAGATATTTTAAAATGCCCTCATACACGTATTGCAACATGCATAATAATTCAATAAAACATGCTAATATATTGCATATGCACGTGTTGTAACTTATAGAATACGTTATACGAGAATGTCATCCGACATCTTTATTGCATTCCAAAATGACCTCCGCCATGTACCTGTAGGATGCCGAGGATTTCATTCTAGTGTGTCATTCCGACATCGCTATTGCATTTCAAAGTGACCTATGGCATGCATTTGCAGGATGCCGAGGATTTCAATCTAGCATGTCGTTTGATATTGCTACTATACCCCAAAATAACCTCCGGCATGTATTATTAAGATGCAAGGGATTTCATTCAAGCATGTCATTTGACATTGCAATTACATTCCAATGTATTGTTAAGATGCAGAGGGTTTCATTCAAACATTTCATTCAAAAATGTCATTTGACATTGCAACTACATTCCAAAGTATCCTCCCGTTATCAAACCATGGACAAGTTTTTTTGCAATAATTATGGCAGCTTGATTATCACATTAAAATTTTATATTTTTCTTTTTAATTGACACTTTAGTTCTTAGTTCTTCTAAAAATCTTTTAACAACATTCTCTTACAAATACCAAGTGCCACTGCCTTATAGTCAGTTTCAGCAATATTATTTTAGATCATTGATTATTTCTTATTTCTCCATCTAACTATATTTTCCCATACATAAGTAGAAAGCAAGAGTGGATCTTCGAGCTAATACATCTCTACCTCAATTAACATATGTGATTTTCATTTCCTTATCAGATGACTTTAACATACCTTTTTGGTGTCATATTGAGGTATCATATGATACAGTTAACTTTTGTATGGTCATAAGTAGGGTTATTCATGTATCGACATACAACACTAGTAAGGAAAACAGACGGTGGAGAGCAATAAATGAGTTTGCTCAAGGCATTGATACCTGCATTTATCAAAGAGTGTTCTATTTGTGGTGATCCCAATTTTCTTAATTAGACCTTTTGGAGTTTCTGCAAGATTACATCCATATATTATTATTTATTGAAGTAGATCAAGAATAAACTTCCTTTAGGAAATAACAATACCTTATTTTGATCATGTCACTTCTATGATAATAAAAAAATATAGATTTTTTAAGTTTTTACCACAAATTCTATGCCATAATCCCTTTTAATTTGATAAGTTCTTCTTTAAGTCACTAGTCAACATAAATTCACCTATTATATGACTAGAACCACCAATGCTATCTTTATGCAAATATTTGATAAAAATAGTGTTATTAACTTAGCATTTAGTGTACACAGACTTTTCAACAGATTTAGAGAATCTGTCAAACCAAGCACCAAGGGTTTGTTTGCTGTAGCATAAAGCTTTTTCAAGTCTGAATGCCTTATTGGAGTTTCTCTGATTATCAAATTCAGGTCTTATTTCCATGCATATTTCCTTTTAAAGGTTACATTAGAAAATCATTCTTAATGTCTAGCAGATGTAAAACCCAATCAAACTTTGTTATCATAGAGAAAAAGACTCAAATTGAGTTGAGTTTCGAAGCAAGAGAAAAAGTTTTCAACTTCCCTTATAGTGTTGGTCATGAAATTTTGGGCTTTAAATTTATCCGCACTCCAATCGATTTATAATTCGACTATAAAAATTAATTTCCAACCAAACATTTTTTTCCCGCCGAAACTTCCTACGTATCATTCAGTTATATAATCTAGCTATCTTCCATTGAGGATATTGAGAGCTTCATGATTAAACACACTACTTTTGTTAAGGCAATAAGACAATGGAGACAATATTATTATCTACTAAATTATTCTCATGAGTACTTAAACAAGATCAGAAACATATTCAATAGGCTTTATGAATTATTTAATTCAAATAATTCAAATGGATCATTATTTGTTGTTTTATACATAATTCAGTCAAAATAATGTAAGGATAGTCCACAGCTTTAGAAGCAAAAAGTTCATCATACTAAAGGGTATTATCATCATACCACTTATCGACAAAGGAATTTTTCGAAGCAGCTGCTTCTTTGCTCTGCAAAATAATCATAAAATAGCAATAGTAAATAAGAATCATTATCAACAGCAGCATACAGGAGAAGATTATAGCATTAAAAAATAAGACTTACGGATATTCGCTCCTTGAAACTAGCACGCCTGATGAGATCCGTTATAACAAGTTTCTTTCTATCGACTTCATCCTCAGGAATCTCAAGCAAGCCCTCGTTCACTATACATGCATGAAGTAATGGATTAGTAATATATCATCCAATAGCCTGCTCTAATTGTTAGGACCACATCTTCAAAAGTTACTGTTATACCTTGCCTCCTAGCACTTTTGCAACGACTGCTACCATGCTGAAGCCTTTTCTTTGGAGTATCATTAGCCGTTGAATCAGGTACTTCTGAGTGTTTGCTTCTGCTACTTGATTTTCTTGGTAGCTTCCTTTTCTTTTGCTTAGGCATATCATCATCGTTATAACTATCACCATCATAGTCATCATCCATTTCTGGAATTATTTTTTTCGCAATTTGATCTGTACTAGCAAAATTTTCCTCATTGGTTTTCAACTTCTTGTTACGTGGTCTAAGTTTCATTGATGACTTCCCAGCTCCATTTTGCACAATACTGGGTGTGCAATCTTCAAGGTTTGATTCTTCAATATGCTGGGATTTGAAATTTATAATTAATATCTCAAGGAACAATAAAATAATGAAAAATATATATATATTACACTTTCAGATGATACATGTTTACAATTACAACATACATCTATTGTGTGTTCTGCTTCCATGGTGTGAAGATCCTCATTTTCAGTAAGAGGTTGAGCTTCCAAATCATTAATATTAAGACAACATGCCCTTTCTTCACTCGAATGGGTTGGAAAACAACTGGGAGCCTTAATTTTCAATGATTCAATTAGGTCACTGGCAGAGAAACTGGAATCATGAGCATCTAATAATTCATTATGAGAAGGAAGTGAATCCATCTGAGAATATTCTGAAACAATATCAATTGGGTTAATAGATACAATTGTTGCGACTAACCCATTATATAGAGAATCCAATTTAGAGGATCCAAATTTAATGAGTCCCATATTATTACCATGATTAGCACTTGCACTTTTTGTTGCGTCTTGGAGCTCTGATTCTAACTTTTTCACATGCTCATCTGCCATGATTTTGGAAGAATTAATAATTAGTACAATAAACAAGAGAAACAAAAGCACAAAATTAGCAATTTGAGGTGCTTAATTAGAGAATGATCCTTTCACAAGCTACCCGATCTAACTTTCATTGATGATTTTCTAGCTTCACCATTTTGCACAATATGAAGGACGCACTCTTCAAGGTTTGATTCTCCAATATGCTGGGATTTGAAATTTATAATTAAAAATAATAAAATTAATTGAAAAAAAAAATCTATGACATACTTCATGATGTTACAAGTACAACTTACATCTATTGTGTGCTCTGCTTCCACGGTGTGAATATCCTCATTTGCAGTAAGAGATTGAACTTCCAAATCATTAAAATTAAGACAACATGACCTCTCTTCACTCAAATGGGCTGGAAAACAACTAGGAGCCTTAATTTCCAATGATTCAATTGGGTCATTGGAATAGAAATTGGAACCATGAGCATCTAATGATTCATTATGAGAAGGGAGCGAATCCAACTGAGAATATTCTGAAACAATATCAATCGAGTTAATAGATACACTTGTGGCAACAGACCAATATATATAAAATCCAATTTAGATGATCCAAATTTAATGAGTCCATATTATTACCATAACTGGCACTTGCATTTTTTTTTATGTCTTGGAGCTCTGATTGAAACTTTTTCACATGCTCATCTGCCATGATTTTAGAAGAAATAATAATCAATACAATAAACAAGGGAAAATAAAGCACAAAATTAGGGGCTTAATTAGAGAATGATCCTTCCACAGGCCACACTTACCATCTACAGCATTGTGAAATTTGGAGGTGGAAGATGGGCCTTCAGAAGCACGATATGTTGAAGGCTTGCGTGGATTTCTATTGTTGCTAATGTGAGACTTGGGGTTAAATTTAATATTTCTTCCTGCAATTGAATTTAATGGAACATATAACCAACAAAAGAAAAAAATGCTGTCGCAAAAAAAATTGTAAGTGAACATTTAACATTACCTACGGTTGTACCATGAGTAAAGAGGTCATCCCGTACATTGAAATTTGAATGTAAGGTCTCTGGATCTTAATGTAAAACAAAATGTCATTATTCAATATCAAATGATCTTTCCCAGCCCAAAATGAAAACAAGCAGAAAAATATATTGTTTTACCAGCGGTGGTTTTTGGCAGTTGCAATAAATCATCACCCAAATCTAGTATAGGAAACATGAGAACTGCAAAGTGACAAAGGAAAAATAAAATCATTCCTTAATGAAAACTAAAGGAAATTTATGATTGGTTAAAGGTCCATAGAATGTTCAAAATCAATGGTAGGTAAAAGAGAAAAATCAAAATGTAAAACACAAAGCACATGAATAAATACAATAAAAAAGTGAGGAAATGTCAGGGCCTTGCACAATTAAAATTTTCCATGTCAAACTAGAGATGAGAAATAATTCATAATGTAGGCATTATCATTAGCCTTATTTCAACCATATGAACAAAAAATATATTTCCTGCTTGTTCGTTCATTGTTTAGAATACAGGAAGAGTTAACTTTCTTTTAAGTATGTTTTTGCGCAACTTTCAACCATCTTGCCATTGTCTGCTCTTTCTATGAAGTGGGACACTAAAAGATCTAGGATTCAATGATGAAATCAATGTAGTTACACAAAGAAAAATAGGATTCGCAAATGAAAGATCACTAAATATAAAAAGACTTGTTTTCATTATAAGAAAACTAGAACATAAGAGTATTTGAATTAAAATAATATAAAACAGTCAATTAAACTTGAACACATCTATATTAAATTAAAACCCTCAAAGAGAGGATAAAACTCAAACTTTGGATGCAGGATTTAGCCTAAGTCCTTCCGAAGAGCAAAAATGACAACAAAATCCTAAACAAACTTAATACCGTGCGAAAGGGCTCCCATCATGTCTTCAAATCCGACATAACAACATTTTCGAAATAGGCGAAGAAGCTTTCTTAGCGACTCTTTCAAAACTCAACTTAACGTGAAGCAGAGAAGACGAAGCCGCAACGAAAAAGATGGTGACAAGAAAAAAGCAAACCCTAGACAAGTCTAAGGCACTACAAAGAGCATAGACAAAGACCAAAGAGAAGAGTAATTATAGAAATAGACATGCAAGAGAAGAATATGGCCTACTCCATTTTTGCTCCTATCAGCTTTTCTAATTTTTGCTTTTTTTTTTCTCTTTCCAGACCACATCAATAGTAAACCATGTGGGAAAGAAAACCAGCTAATTAGATAATAAGTTCAATTTATAATGCAACTTCAAACCATTAATGACAACGGCAACAAAACCCATCTTTTACTCACAGCATCGCATTGACTACATGAATCATTTTTCTCCATTGTGTCCTATTCATTTAAATTTAATAAAAAAAATTATTTTTAATACTTTCTAACCAAGTCTTTTTAGATTTACCTCTATCTATCTTAACATTAGCCAAATCCAATACACCTACTATCCTAATAAGTTCATTTAAAGCACAACATTTTATATGACCAAATCATCTAAGATGACCCTATTTAATCTTATCTGCCATTGGAACTAGTCCAATATTTTCATGTATATACTCGTTTCTCAAATGGATAGGGTTCAGACGGTAATAGAATCCATCAAATAAGGCAAGTAGAGAAGCTTTATGATGATAGACTTATGAATCCCCATTTTAATGGCAGCTGCCACTGTCTTATAACATGCAGGGCATCCAAAGATTCCAGATCGTAAACATAAGAACTATAGGGATATCCATGCGTGGATAGTGGCAAATCATCACGCTGTGTATGGAACTCATAGGGGCTGATTGGTATGCGGATTTAGGCCGGATTTGGGCGAAATCCAGCCAAACGGCCTAAAATGCAAAATCAAATCTCAAGGTAAATCAAAGCCGAGGTTTTCCCTCTTTTCGTGGTAAATCCCGGATTTACGAAATCCTTTGGTTCGGCGGATTTACGGGATTTGGCCGAAGAAGCGCACGAAAGGGAGAAAGTTACCTTCACAGGAAGCAAGCTCCTGTTGTTGCTTCAGATCAAAAAAATGTCGTAACTTCCGATCCAACAGGAAGGTAATGTCGTCGAAGGAGCAAAGTCGAACGGCGACGAAGAAGAACTCATGAAAAATTCTACACTCGTGCGAAGGAACAAAGCCGAACGAACTAGAGTGAGGGAAAAGTGAAACCTAGACACTTCTAATTGCTGGATAATTTAATTAATATAATTTAAATTAGTAATAATTAAGTGAAATTAATTAAATAATATTTAAATAATTGATAAAATTATTAGTTAAATACTTATTTATTTTAAAATAACTAATAGAATTAAATATTATCTTAAATAAAAATAATTATTATAAATAATAACTAAATAGCTAATTAGTATTAAAATATTAATTAGTATTAATAAAATTTTGCTATATTTTATTTAAATTTTTCTTGTCGTACTTTAATTAACCTAACAATGTATGTCAACTCTTTTAATCGACTTAAATTCTGAATTGAACAGCCAAACAATTACATAGGACTTAACTACATTTATCATGAATGTTATCAAACAGTTTTCAGGATTTAACCCCCTTGGGATTTCGTAAATCCTCCAGAAATCTGGATTTGGAGGATTTACGAAATCCTAGTTAAATAAAATCTTAAATTCTACCAAACAGCCCCATACAGCAGTTTGGCAACAGGATGTATGCAGGATTTACGCTAAATACTGCAAAACGGGATTTCAGCGCCCCGTAAATCTCACGGCAGAATAAATCCTCCGTTTCCCTCTTTTTTTGTCGTAAATCCCGCATTTATTAAATCCTATAGTTGTACGGATTTACGGGATGGCCGAAGAAGCGCGCGAAAGGGAGAATTACCTTCACAGCGAGCGAGCTCCCGCCCTTGCTTCCGATCAAAATGTTGTAACTTCCAATAGCGTCCTCGAATGAGCGAAGTCGAACTGCAACGAAGGAGTCGAAGAAGCGACTCGTGCAATCTCTAAGGGGCTGTTTAGTATGCAAATTTAGGTCGGATTTGGGCGAAATCCAGCCAAACGGCCTAAAATGCAAAATCAAATCTCACGGTAAATGAAAGCCGCAGTTGACGGAAAATTCCCTCTTTTCGTGGCAAATCCCGGATTTACGAAATCCTTTGGTTCGGCGGATTTACGGGATTTGGGCGAAGAAGCGCGCGAAAAGGAGAAAGTTACCTTCACAGCAATCGAGCTCCCGTTGTTGCTTCAGATCAAAAAAATGTCGTAACTTCCGATCCAACAGGAAGGTAATGTTGCCGAAGGAGCAAAGTCGAACGCGACGATGAAGAACTCGTGAAAAATTCTATATTCGTGCGAAGGAACAAAGCCGAACGACATACATGAGGGAAAAGTAAAACCTAGAAATATAATTTAAAATATTAATAATTAAGTAAAATTAATTAAATAATAAATACTATTTAAATAATTGATAAAATTATTAGCTAAATAATTAGTTATTTCAAAATAATTAATAAGATTAAATATGATCTAAAATAAAAAAAATTATTATAAAATATTATAAATAATAATTAAATAATTAATTAGTTTTAAAATATTAATTAGTATTAACAAAACTTTGATGTGTTTCATTTGAACTTTTGTTGTTATACTTTAATCATTGAAGAAATAAATTTTGAATGTGTTAACCGTCTTAAATTCTGAATTCACACGCGATTTATCAAGATGTACATTGAATTTTACTAAACAGTTTTTAAGATTTAACACCCTTAGGATTTAGTAAATCCAAATTTAGAGGATTTACGAAATCTTACTTAAATTAAATCTTTGGTGCATCCAAACAACCCCAAAATCTCAGAGAGAGTTAAATCCTATGTTTCCCTCGTTTTGTCATAAATCATAGCTTTATTAAATCCAAGAATTCGGTGGATTTACAAAATATGGTCGAAGAAGCACACGAAATGGGAGAAAGATGGTTACCATCGTTGTCCATGACTATGTCGTCCTCGAAGGAGGCCAATGCCGTTGAATGAGGCAAAGAACGTCGTAGACTTAGGAGAAGGAAGAACGTTGCCTAATTGTCGAACAATTATTACGTCCTCCGACCGGATGCAGAGAAACATCTCGTTGTAAGCAAAATCGCGCCTATAACGAGGTGTACCGAGTTTTTTGAAAAAACTCGGTACACCTCGGTATAGGCAAGATTTTGCCTACAACCAGAGGTTCCTCTGCATCCTTACACCGGACGGAATAAAAGAATGTTGGGGCTTTTTGGCAATAGGATTTATGCATGTTTGAGTAGGATTTATGCTAAATCCTGAAAAATGGCATTTGAGCCCCCCTTAAATTTCAGCGGAATAAATCCTCACTTTCTCTATTTTTGCTGGAAATCTCGGATTTACTAAATCTTGTTGTTTGCGGGATTTGGTCGAAGAAGTGCGTGAAAGGAATAAAAATGGTTACCTTCGCAGAGAGCTGACTTGCTTCATTACTTCTAATCCAATGTTATCGAAGGACGTGAAGAAGCTTCTTTAGTAACTTTTTTTTTTAATATTTAGATCAATTAAGATAACTTACACACACGTCACATACACGAGACTCAAAACCTAAGACGGCAATACCTCTTATTGGTAACCAAAGTTCCAAACCAACAGAATAATAGACAAATGTGAACTATGTTTTAGCGACTCTTTCAACACACTACTTCAAACTTCACTTCACATGAAGCACAGGAGGCTCAAGCAAGCAAAAAGATATGGCAACGAGAAAAAAACAAAGTTGATAAAATGAAAAGCAAACCTTGAATTATTTAACTAATTAGTAATGTAAAATTAAAATAAATGTTTAATAATTATAATTTTAAATAGAAATAGTTATTACATAACATTATAAATAATATTTAATTAGTATTAGAATGTTTAAATGATTAATGATATAATTAATAATTAAAACTAATTAAAATAGTGCTTTTAAATTAATTTAATCATTAGTAAGAGTATTAGTTCAATAATTAGTTGTTTTAAAAAATTAACTAATTAATTAAATAATGACACCCTCGTGCATAAATATCCTTAATGACTTGAATCAAGCTATACCCATTTTTTTTTTCTAGAACTCCATCAGCACCTTCTTTGAACACTCTAATCATATGCTTTATATAAATCGATAAATATCCATGTTGTAGACTCCATTCTTATTGCTCTTTATACTTCTCCATTAACCTCTCAATAAAGTATACGCTTTATAGTTAGCACTTACCGAGC